CCCTAAAAAACTCATGTGGAAATTTGATCTCCAATGTGGCACTGTTGGAAACTGATTGAGTCATGGGGCGGATCCCTCATGAATGGATTAATGAGTGAGTTCTCGCTCTATTAGTTCCCATGAGAGCTTGTTGTTTATAGGACCCTGGCACCTCCTCTCTCTCTCTCTCTTGCTTCCTCTCGCCATGTGATCTACTTGTACCCACCGGCTGCCTGCCTCTTTCCGCCATGAGTAGAAGCAGCCTGAGGCCTGTGCCAATTGCAGCTGTCCCAGAATCGTAAGCCAAATAAACCTCTTTTCTTTATAAATTACCCAGTCTCAGGTAGTTCTGTTATAGCAACACAAAACGGACTAAAACAACCCATCTTTCAATTTATAGACTACATATAAGATAAATGTGAGTTGGTTCCTTCCTGCCCCCTCAGAAATTTAGGCAAATTTTACTGGAATATCTAGCTTCTTTATCTGAGAATCCAGAGCACTCTCCCTGATTTCTATAAATCCCTGTCCCTTGATGCAAATATCCTTTGGAAAAAAGATGTTTAAAAATAATCACGATTTGCTTAAAAAACTTCTTATGTTGGAAATTTTCCAATATTCACAGAAATGGGGAAAACAGTTTAATGAGTCCCCATGTAACCATCTCCTAGTTTTGACAGTCTAGTTATATTTTTCCATTGCAGCTTCCTTAATATTGCTCCCAACTTTTCCTTTTTGCTGATTTTCTAAAATAGTACATTTCTGATGTCATGTCATTTATCTCATAAATACTTCACTCTGTATCTTTAATTGAGATGGGCTTGTTTTAAAAACATAGCCATGATGATATTATCACATATAACAAAACAAATAATAATTTCTTAATATTATCTAATAAGAGTCTATATTCAAGTATCCCTGTTTATCATAAAGGTGTCTTTTTATACTTTATTTGTTCAAATCAGGATATAAACAATTGGGGTTAGTGTATTAATACCGATAATTTGTAATAGCCCCCCCCCACACACACATTGATTGGTTGGAGAAATAGGTCATTGGCTTACCGAGAGGTAGATGCTCTGACACCTGTAACAGCAGCCTCGGCATCACTATCTCAGCCTTTCTTCTTCTCAAGTTATAAAAGGGGAATAGAAAAGGGATTGAGGGAGACGACTCACGGGAGCCATTTGCAGCTGTAAGCCTGGAGGGACCAACTTGTTTTCCCTCCCACTCCAAGACAAGAAAACATAGATGCAGTCTTAGAGATTGGCAGTGCATCAAAACAGGGCAGGCTGGTCCTCTCGTTCCTCAGGTGGATGTTTGTTGATCTGCAGAATCCTCAACCCACTGGTGCCATAGTGCCACCTCCAGAACAGTGAGGTGGGGATTTCTTGATAGAGTTACATACATATGCCTTGAGTATTGGGAGCACATTTGAACATAAACTTAATTCACATCTTGAGATTTCAGAAGGCAGAAGGCTTGCCAGAGAAGCCTGTGCCCTGAGGGAAAGAACAAACCATGACTCAATGGGCAAGGAAAGGAAACTGGTGTATCTCCAACACCCTCATGCCCCAGCTCCCTTAGAAGCAGAAAGTAGAACCTAAGTGCTGTCCAGAGCTCTCAGCGACAGCAACAGAAGTGAGGTAGGTGTGGTGTGGATGCCCAGGTGTCCACCAAGCAAGAAGACTGTCCATCTGGAAATCTGATTGGTGGCAAAAAGTTGGCAAAAGCCCAAGGGAGGGGCTGGCCTGGTGGCACACTGCTACAGTGCGCTGCTTGGGAGCACTCATGCCCCAGCTCCCTTAGAAGCAGAAAGTAGAACCTAAGTGCTGTCCAGAGCTCTCAGCAACAGCAACAGAAGTGAGGTAGGTGTGGTGTGGATGCCCAGGTGTCCACCAAGCAAGAGGACTGTCCATCTGGAAATCTGATTGGTGGCAAAAAGTTGGCAAAAGCCCAAGGGAGGGGCCGGCCTGGTGGCACACTGCTGCAGTGCGCCGCTTGGGAGCGTGGCGGTGGCGCTCCCGCCGAGGGTTCGGATCCCACATACAGACCGGCCGCTCACTGGCTGAGCGAGGTGAGGGCACGACACTGAGGGTTGCGATCCCGTTGCTGGTCCCGGTCCGGTACGGGCACGACACTGAGGGTTGCGATCCATTGCCGGTCATGAAAAAAGACAAAAAGGAAAAAAAAAAAAGCCCAAGGGAGACACATCTCAATAAAGGCCAACGTGATGGCAAAAGCTACAAACAACACACTGACCCAGTGTGAGCCAGAATGAAATCAGTCATGGTCAGCCTTTGCACTGCTGACACTTGGCCAGGTATGTAAGACACTTCCTGCCATTACTTCTGGCCCTTTCTCCATCCAGCACAGCAGGAAAAATAGAGCCTGTTTTAAGCTAAATCTGAGAGTGCATTTTTAAACTAGATTGGACTGAATGTTCACAACCAAATGACTGAGAAGTTATAAAAACTGACCCAAATGTTGCTAAGAGATCTGTTTCCTAGAAAGGAGATGATGACTGGAGAAAAAAATAGAGCCTTCTCTTACTGAAACTTTTTAATGAATCTGTTGCTCTTAGTCCAGTACATCATGGACTTACTTTGTCCTCACTGTGGCTTGAACTGGCTCAGTCTGTCATTGGTAGCTTCTCCCATCACGATGATCTTATGTGGACGTGTATGTGGCTTTCTTAGAGTGGTGCTCAGGTTCACCCAGAACATTTTGGGAACTTTTGCAAGCAGCATAGTTCAGCAGCAACGTGGCGGTTCAGAATGCCATACACAAGAGCCTCGCTCCTTTTTCAACCGCTCCGTGGTGTTGTATTATTCTCATATTCTGAGATTCATTTTTGTCTATGGTAATTTTTACACATGTACTTTACTTTTAAGGAAAATAAGCTAAAAAAACCCAAAACCATTAAGTAGCTTGCTGGGGGACCCCAGATGATGGGAAGCCGTGGATGAATGCCACCATCAGAGTACAAATGGAATGTATTAATTACTTTGAAAATTCTGTAGACTTCACATTAGTTAATTTAGAGGAGAAGATGACATAATTCTGCCCTAAAGCATAAAGAACATATTCAGTCAGGGATACACTGTGTATGACCAAAACCAAAATCAAAACAAAAAACCCACATTGTATGGAAAGATCCCATAATGCAAAAGATGGAGAGCAATGTATTTAATGATTATGAGTTGCTGCTATAATAAATGTGACTAGATATCATCAGCAATTTTTTTTTAAGTAAGGTGTGAGGATTCAATGCAGCTGGATAAGTTGCTAATAAATAGGTTGCCAAGTAGAAATAAAAGGCAATTAATCTTTCTTCCCTTTAAGAAAGTAACAAAACTATTCACTAAAATCTGAATTCTCATGTAAGGGGTGGTGGTAAGCTGGAAAGGTAACCTAAATGTATGAGGGTGGTTTGAGCTTATTTCCAGACAATTCCTAAATTGATACCTTTTTGTGTTTTGAAGGAATAAGGCTGTATTGAATGGGAAAGGAGGAAATATAGAATGAATGAATGTTTTGTGGACTGATGAAAGGTAAGTTCAACCCCCAAAGATGATTGGGGTGGGAGGAGACAGGGGCTTCAGTATTCACTATGGTTGGGAAACATGTCCTCTGTAGGGACTCTCTCTGCAATGTTACCTTAGCTGGGATTCATGCCTGAGTACTTGTGCTCTGCAGCCTTGAAGGCCTCTCAGAATTCATCATGGACAAGCTTAATGCAGAGAATGGCAAATACCACCTGGAGAGCAGCTAACCTTGTAATGAACCATAAGAATAAGCCTTGGATATACAGGCATATTGCCTGGACAAGGACAAAGGCAGCAGGAACTAGACATTTCTGTCAATTTCTTGAACAGGACAAGCGTTAACAAAATTGTACTATCTAAAAGCAGCCCCCTCCTCAACAATTGAATGGTATTGAACTTCTTTCCATCACTGTAAAGGGAAAGTTTGAGCTAGATTTAAATTTACTTTCTACTTAATTTTCATTTTTAATCAATTTCATTGAGCTGTAATTTAGCCATTTTGGTGTAATTTCTATGAGCTTTGACAAACAAAAAGGATTATGTAGTCACTGACACAATCGAGATATAGAACAGTTCTATCACTCTCCAAAATTTCCTCATGCCTTTTGTAATCAACTCCCACACCCACCTCTGGCCCCCAGCAACCCCTGCTCTCTTTTCTGTCCCTGTAATCTTGCCATTTGAGCTGAACTTAATTTAGAAAAGTAAACTTTTTTTTTCTTTGTATTACAAGTGCCTTGGATCAAGTCATACCCTTTATAGATTTTGAAAAGTATTTCACATTTCTCCATTCACTGTTGGCTATGTGCAGTAAGGTTAAAACAATACATAAATAAATAATGTGACTGGAAGGCATTGATTTTTACATTAATGTCGGGTACTATTTGGTAGATTCTAATAGTTAGAAATGAAGGAATATTATAAATCCCCATCCTAAAGTCAAATGAAACTCAGACACAAATTTGAGCAGATAGGAAAGTCATATTTTACTTGCAATGTTTGTAAGTGAGTTTAGCCTTCAGAGGAACCAGGCCCTTAGAATAAAGGATATAGCACTATATGGGGGGCAGAGGGGACTACCAAGTTAGTTGTTTGCTGACTATTCTCACTGGTGGAAAAACTAAATAAAGTAACCAACATTTATTTGAACATTAAGAGTTGAATTAGAAAAATAAGTTAGACTGTTTTTTATTTTCTTAAAAGTCTATGAAAACACTAAGGAAATTATAAATGAGAAAATAAAATTGATTTCATAGCATATGTCTAAAATAACTGATGTTAGATATCATAGAAATCTTGTTAAAAACTTTAAGCATCATTCCCCCAAAAGGCAAGTTTCCATTTCATTGTAGTTGTGCTTATATTTAAATCTAAATCCAGAAATACATGGAAAGCCATATTCTGTAACTACACATAACATCCTGCCTCAAAGGAGATATTATTTTATAAGCAAACAAATGCTAAGAACCAAATTTATATTATTTCATTGTCATTACACTGGCATGTAGCCTCACAAGAGTTTTTCACTTCTTCATTGTTACATTGATCTTGCAAAGTTTCACAGTTGTCACCTTTATTGTAATATCTGCAAGGGTTAGCTGAAAGAAAGCAGAATGCAAAGTTATTGCCTACTAATTACAAATACATTATTATTGCTTTAGTGAGCGTTCAAGGAGAAACGGCAAGTAGAAATTAATCTACAATGTAGCTTAAAGTATGTGTGTGTATATATATTTACATATACAGGCATATAGGCAGAGATACAGTAAATGTTCACTCGATCATCTAACATTCAAACAGAAGATGTGGTTTATAATATTTTAGGCTGTCATATTATTTTTAATAGGAAAGAAGCAAGTGATATACATATGTTGCTATCACACGTAATAATAATATTTCAAGGCATACACTAAAGTGACTCTAAAATCATACCAAACACCCACAACTTCTACATCTAAAATTGATGTTAAAAGTGAAAATAATCTAAAAAACATTTACTGTGCCTTTATTCTATGACAGGCAGTACTCTAAGTGTCTAATGTGTACAATTGATATAATCGTCTCAGCATTTCTATGCTGAATATCTATGTGGAGTTTACTATTATGATCCCTACTGTGCACATGAGAAGATTATGGCACAGCACTACTCTTCTAAATTATGTGCCCCCAAATCATATCACTAGGCAAAGGTGGAGTCAGGGTCCAAACCAAGTGGTTGGTTCCATAACTGATACTTCAAAGCTCCACTCTCATCGACCATGTTTTAGTATGCCTTTCTCGATGATTCTGAAATGCTGAAATATCATGAAAAACCTTTAGACTTTGCATAAGATGTAATCATGTACGATTTAGTTTCTGTGAGGGATATTCTATTAAAAAATGCAAATTCTTTAAAAAGTAAAAATTCATGCATGGCTTATAATTCTGAAATGCTGAAATATCATGAAAAACCTTTAGACTTTGCATAAGATGTAATCATGTACTATTTAGTTTCTGTGAGGGATATTCTATTAAGAAATGCAAATTCTTTAAAAAGTAAAAATTCATGCATGGCTTATAATATACAACTATTTGATTAATCAGAATATTCCTTAGTGATGCTGGAGAAATCAAAATACCTTTACTATATGATTTCTTCCTTATTACTACATGGTATTCATAATCTAACCAAAGAAACCCCATCTCTTGGGAAAATAAGAGACCTGAGTTCTAGTCCTGTTTGAACCATTAACAGACCATGAGGCATTGAACCATCCATCTCATCCTAATCTATCTTTGTTCCCTTACCTCTAAAATAGGAAATTAGTTTTGTATTAAGTCCCTTCAGCATTAAGGTTTTATGATTCTTTATTATAGTAGGAACTTAATTTTACTGTATGGAACCCAGTATAAAGGCCAGTTATATAATATAAATACATTATAGCATAATTAAATTCTTAATATAAGTATAATATATGGTATTTAATATACATACCACTTGTACTGTATTTAAACCATATAGTACATTAAGTTCATAATATTCTCATCCTATCTCATGTTCTTTCAACTGCACAAATTATTTCTTACTCTTTGCTCTAGGCTGCCATAACACAGATGATGCCATATTTTATCTGTTCTCCTCCTAATGCCATCTATAAGACTACAGTAGATGTTTCTTCCTCAATAACCTTCTTGTTAAAACAAAAAATTTTTGATCTGTTTTATGCCTTGATGTAATACTTCTGGACAGAATCATTTCTAAGATTTGAAAAATCAGTGCAATAATGATAAACAAGACACGAACTCTTTGTAGACTTTCAAACAGTGCCATCATAGACCTTGGGCAAAGTTAGAGACCATGAGGTATATACTAAGTGCTCACAGAATTAGGAGTTGATCCAAGGACTCAAGATCAGGAAGCACAGTGAAGAAAGAAAAGAGGGTAGTACACTATGATCTCCCTTCCCTCACCCTGGTTTTATGCCTTATACAATGAAAATGATGATAGTTTCCTCACCATCAAGTTGAATGGGTTTTAAAGATAATGCATTTAAAATCATCTTGTCCATTACAAGAGATGTACAAATATTCAGGATGGTGGTGTCACAGAAGCATGAATGTGAGCATGCGTCATCCTCACCTAAATCCCTTTATATGATCAGCCTAATAGATGTGTACTCCTCTCAGGAGGCTTCGAATAGAGGAGTTGCATCAAGAACTCTTGGGATCATGTGTACAAGTGAGAATGCTAATCTGATGTGACCAATCCGACTAACAGATGAAGTTTACAGTGAAATCAATGTCACTTCTTCATGTCATCTTACTCTCTCTGGAATTAAACTATGATCTATTAAAGTATTCTTGATTACATAATAAATACTTACTAAAGACTTAAAAGTGTTTTTAGGAAGAAGTTAGCAAGGACTAGTTTACCTAATTTTATCGCCTTAATGATAACCTTAACGTCCTGAGGGGATGGAATACCAGGTAGAAGTATGGTGAAGTCACAAGTATAGAGAAATTTACATACAGATTTATAGATAAAATAACCATTTAAAAATGAGAGATTTGTGATCTTGGGAAGCAGGCACCACAGATTTATAGATAAAATAACCATGTAAAACTGAGAGATTTGTGATCTTGGGAAGCTGGCACTGATTAGCAGAAAAAGGTGACTAGTGCAGAGACTAATGGTGACTAATGAAATGTAATGAAGATATTTTTAACCTTAAAAAATATGCTAAGGAATAAATGCCCATCTCCACAATCACAGCACGTTAGAGCAGGGTAAAATAAAAAAAAAAAAAGCAAAATAACAAATTAAAAAATACAATTTAAACAAATTTAAAAGTACTTAGATCCACAATCCATTAAGAAAATATTTTTAACTCTCATGATGTTTCATTGGTAAGATTTAAATATTTATTTCCAGTGTAGTGATCTGTTTGTC